TAAGGGTTCGCATTTCTCTGGGACGAACAGTAGACCAAATTTTAGTTTTAAACAGGCATCAGCTTCTTAGATCTAATTAGCATTAGTTTTTACCAGAAGCGTGCTGTGAAACTTCCTATTTGGCCTTTCTTAATCTAATTACTTCTCTTCCTAATGAACAGCAGTTAGTGATGGTTATCTGCCTTGATCTCAGGAAAGCCTTCGACAAGTTGCCACACAGACGTCATTTAGTAAAATTGGAAGCTCTCGGCATCCGGCCGTCTCAACTCGACTTCACCTGGTCCTATTTATCTGACCGATATCAGAAAGTCATGGTCGGTAATAGCTAATCGACACCCCACTCGATCAGGAGTGGGGTACTTCAAGGCACGGTTCTGGGTCCGCAAATCTTCCTTCTTTGAATCAGTTATATTTCGACTGAACTCAGGAATTCGCAAACATTTATTTATGCCGATGACCTCAAGTGTGTTTACTCATATTCTAAGGACATCGCAACTGTTTGTGTTGAAAAAATTAATGCTGATTTACCACGCTTAATTAGATTGGGTTCAACATGGCAGATGGAGTTTTCATCATCCAAGTGTAGTTTCATGTCTTTTGATGCCGCCAAACTTCCTGGTCCCATAATTTTTCAGAATAACCCACTCAGAGTGCTTCACCATAACGGACCTAGGTTTGAGTTATGCAGATAAACTTGCTTTATCACCTCATGCAGATAGAACCTCTGCCAAAGCCGCGCAGTTATGTGGGTTCATATAGTATAGTTTTTTCTTCCCCGAAATGAAACTTAGAATGTATCAAATGTTTGTTCTTCCAGTCCTCGAATATTGTTGTCCTTTCTTTGGTTTAATGAACGCCTGTGTCCGTAATCAAATCGAAAATCTTCAGAGGGTTTTCAACCGGAAACTGTTCTCCTAAGTCGCACCCTGGACTTCTTGTACTCAAAGATGTCAGCTGGCGAACATAAAGTTTTGTGGGTTAGAAGACTCGAAGCTGGCCTTTGCTTCCTTTTTCGCATCAACTCTAGCTCCAGTCTTCCGCTCATTGACACTCTCACACCGAGAGATCGGTCTCACGCCGCGCGCAACTCCTGCATGATGATTCCGCTGACTCTTTCCACTACGTCTAAGCGCTCCCTCTCTTGGCTTCTAAATATGCCTTCCTTTGAAATAGTCTTCCACGAGAACTTAGGTCATCGCCTAATTTATCGGTATTTAAATCTGAATTGCGCAAGAAGCCTACGCCGGAAAGTGTAAAGTCACTATTGACCGTTTCATTCCCGAACACGCAGCTTCTTGACTTTGAGAAGGGTCCCCTGGGATTCAATGGTAGACCAAGTGGAAACCCTCACTTATATTTTGGAACCCCTTGTTTTTTTATTGGTTACTAATTCTACTACAGTCACTCCTCCCCCACAGAGGTAATCTTCGCGTCCTTGATGTCATCTCCTCATTTCAACCCCAAATGGTCTGTCAACGCTCTCGGTGGAATCCTCTGTACTCACCATCTACTGGTAGTTTTGTCGGTCAGCAAAGAATTATTATGGTCGCATCTCCCCGCGCTTTCAGAGTCCCCACAGCCTTTAATGTCTCACTCAGATGGACTTTAAACGGACTGGGACAAATCTCGCTGGGTCCCTCCTTTCTCGCCACATTGACAGTTGCGTCTGCTGTCAACCAAAAAATATGAGGACCGAATCTGCAACGAAGAGCCTAACTGGGTTTAGGAATTTAACCTTTGCGAGGACCATTCTGAATTTTCGTATACTATTACCTGCGGGAGAGCCCTGTCCGACCGCATATTTACCTTCCAATGGGCGACAGTTTTTATCATTAAAGACCAACAAAATCCCAATCATTTTACCTTTTTCGAAAAGCCGGGATATTTTTTCATTGTTCACTAGTGAAGTTTCATATCAGACTGCCTATTTTATAATCCCGAACTGAACACTCTATGGTTTCTGCCTACTTGTTCTTAAATTCACTCGAAAATGTATCTTTACTTGCTACGACAGTACCCTTAGGGGCACTAGAGAAAGCATTTTATTTATTTTATATTTATAATTTAGTGCGCATAACGGTGGACAGTTTAAGCACACGAATGCTACAGAAAATGTGGGATGATGCCTTTGAGCGTCAGTGTCAGTAATTATGGGCGATCAGTTAGAGGAATACGTATATGTATATATTGAAGGGTTACAGGCAGAGCCCTTGATGACCCTATTTATGTACAGTGCTTTCGCAAATTCATACTCAAAAATAAAATAAAATTGCAGGAATTGAAAATGTGATTGGGTCACAGTTCAATCGTAATCATAAAGTAGTGCATAGGATCACTGTAAATTTGTGCGGAAGATAGTATATGACAGATTTTACAAAGCTGGCTGTGCATAGTCATGCTGTACAAGCCGATTTCTGTTGAAAACTAGACGAGCAAGTTTTCTTTTAAACATACAAACTGTGTCAGCCGTCACCATCTCGTTTGGAAGCGAGTTCCACGGCCTGACAACCCGCTGGCTGAATGAAAATTTTCGTCGGTCTAAACGCGTGCGGTCATTCCCGACTTTGTGTGCATGGCCGCGTAGTTGGTTTGTACGGGCGAACTCAAAGAAGTCCTCTGCTCTTAATGGGCAACCCTGGCCGCGAACAATCCGGAATGTCCAGAGTAGACTGCAGTTTATTTGTCTATAAGAGAGAGGGAATAGGCCAAGGAAATTCAGCCTCTCCTGATAAGACAAATGCTTCAAACCGTCGACCATCTTTGTCGCTCTGCGTTGCACATGTTCGAGTAAGTTGATATCCTTCCTCATCCATGGTGAAGCTGCTGGCATTCCATACTCTAGATGAGGTTTTACAAAGACACCAAAGAGTCTTTCAAAAAGTTCGGGAGGAAATATTTTAAATGCACGTCTGATCCAGTGTAGAGTACTAGTTGCCTTCTGGACCATCTTTCTGCAGTGTTCTGATGGCGATAGATTTGTGGTCGTCCATACACGCAGGTCTCTGTGTCTTTCCACAGTTTCTAACCTTGTCCCGTCAATATAGTACTGGTGTTTGGGAGAGACATTGCGGCCGGTGTTCAGGTGCAAAACCACGCATTTGGACACTTTAAACTTCAAAAGCCATTTGTTCGACCAAGCACACAGTTTGTTGATATTCGACTGCAACTTCTCTGCGTCATCATCACACTTGCGCCTGATAGCTATTGCTGAATATTTTGTATGACGTACCTATTCGCCTGTCAGATTTAGAATCTTCACACGTTCGATGGAACCAAACAGCAATGAGGTTACCATCAATTTCATCAGATGATTCCACAAAACGCGCGCTCCATTTGTGCAATTTGATTGTCTACTATTTTTAGGTGTATTTGGGCCTCGTTCTGGCGATTATTCAGTTTCCACGCCAAAGTCTTCATTTTCGCCTAACGATCGGAGGAATATCCGGCTTAAAAAAACGCTCCGTGAGGATTTTTCGCAGCCTATACTTTAGATAGGAACTGAGGTCTGTCATAAATACGCGTGTGACCGAATAAGCCTATGCGACGAGTGTGTGTTCGGAGACAGTGTGGACAGTGGAGGCGGCACGGCGAGCCTCTGGTGGTTCGCTAGTCTCTGTACGATGCATTCGCAAGTGATGTGATGTGCGGTCGCAATGAGGTCAGGTATGGACCGAGTCCACAGCGACAGTCTTGACGGTAGTGAGGGTGATTTTTGTCGGTATGTCAGGAATGTGTTCGGTTTTTGCAGGAGTTTAGGCCGAGAGTGCGACTCTGACTACCACGACCTTCAAGCCCGGTGCCAAATAGAAAGAGAAGATGGACGGCAGTGGGCAGGACAATATATTCTGTAAAGAGTAACTGGGGAAGGATTAGAAAAGAGCTGGCAGCCGGACGGTGGCGCGTCCAGCGCTGGGTGAGCGGCGTCACGAGTGTCTGTCAGGGTATGCGTCAAAACGTCTAACCACAAACCACTTCTGACTCGGCCTTGAATCCGATTGGTTGGTTGGAATGCGGGGTGGACGAATGTCTGACAGCCACGGTGGACACGTGCAGACACTCGCGTGAGGCCCATCGTTGAGACAGACGCCCGGAGTAGGGCCACTACACAGTGCTCGTGGGTACAGGAGGCACTGCAGCCGATATCGAGGAGATGGAGGATGGCAGTAGAGATTCAGGAATGCGGTCAGCGTAGATTGTCGGTATGGGGGCGAGGCATAGGTGGGCAGGGGGACACCGAGTAGTGTCTTTCGGCTGCTGCTGATGGTTCGTAGATGACCAATATATAAATACATTTTATTCGAGACCGTAGGGGTCCAGTCATAGCAAGAAAGGATGATTTTTTACACTTATTTTAGAACAGGCAGACAGAATGCATACAATACTTAATTCATATATATATATATATATATATATATATATATATATTGAATAGGTAGTCTGTTAAATAGAATGAGCGAGCAGCGAAAAAAAACTTCCATTAAATAAACAAAACGAACATGACTGGATTAACATTAAAGGAGAACAAGACTGTCGCCTATGAAAGGATAAAAAACGGGCAGGACCGGCCTGTACGTGGCAGTGTATAACGGATTTCACGAAGGAGCAAGTATGCGGGCCAGACAGGATTGGCCTGCATGCGGTATTGAGTATGAGGGTCGAAACGGACATCATCAGGGCAGAATTTAAATGCCGGGTGAGGCCATTCACGTCAAAGTAGAGAGACGAGAGGAACGCAGACGCGATCGTCGGCCACAGCCCGCTTTGAATCCAGCCAAGGAGGGGGACAAGGGGGATGCGACCAAACTACTGGCAGATGGCGGATGCAGAGAGTTCCGCCAGGAGCGTCCACAGACCGCTTGGGGTCGGGCTGAGGAGATGACCTCAAGAAACGCAACAGTCAACGATTGGGGTGAGGGGTCGAAATCGTGGGGGCCAGAGTGGAATTCTGATGAGCGTCGGTGACCGGTGGAACTGAGGAGGTTTAGAGCGTGCACTCCGACCTAGCCACGCTGAGACCGGTTGGTGCCCGGAGCGTCCGTTGACATCGTGGGCAGGTTGGGAGGGGAGGGTTGAGTGTTGAAGTTGCGAGGTGGGGGCAATTGAGATTTTCGAGCTTCCCGTTTGGCTTTGGTGGCAGTGATGCGGTTAACTTCGAGACTGCTGTGACTGCCTTCACTGTCCTCCGCCAGGTAGGTCGACCACAGTTGGCCGGATGTGGTGCATCGTTGGATGGCGGTCGGTGTATAACCACTGTCTTTTGCGCATTGATGACCAGGCTAGAGTTGTCGCAGGTGACGGCGATGAGGTCCATGTTCCTTTGCACGTCAGCTTCCAAGGTGACGTTGAGGGCGCAGTCGTCGGCAATGTCCGTGACGCACGCCATCATGTCATCGTGGAGTTTACACACCATATGAGTGAATCGCCCGGGACGGCCAAATTTTTGGATGATTTTCCACAGTCCTTTGCGATTCACCGTGTCGAAGGCTCTCGTCAGATCCAAGAAGATAGATTACAGGTGGGTCCGCATCTCCTGACATTTCTCCTGCAGTTGGCAGGCAGCGAATATCATGTCGGTTGTCCCGCGATGATAGCGGAAGCCACACTGGCTTACCGGCAGGAGACCCTCTTCCAAATGGTTGTTGAGACGGTTGAGGAGGATGCGAGCGAAGACTTTCCGGCGATGTTGAGGAAAGAGATACCTCTGTGGTTATCGCAGAGTTGATGGTTCTCTTTTCGCCTGTAGAGGTAAACTATTACAGTTCCCTAGAAGTCCTGGGGACTTCTCCCTTACGCCACATCTCCTGGGACGGATTCATCAGATGATCCGTAAGTCGGTGGTCACCGTGCTTGTAGATTTTAACAGGGATTGCGTCCGATCCGGGCGCTTTCCCGTTGGAGAGCTGCTGTACGGCCCTCACGGTTTCGTGGAGGGCTGGTGGCCGAAGTTGACGTTGGTCTCCACTTGAGGTAGATGAGCGTAGACGACGTCGGAGATGGTGGCGGGACGATTGAAGACACCTCGGAAGTGATCGGCCCATCGCTGCAGAACTTGCGTCTTCTCAGTGAGTAGGGTAATTCCGACGGCGCTGAGAATCCAAGCGGTTTTCTTGACTGTGGGACCGTAGGCAACTTTGGTCGCGACGAAGGAGTTCTTCCATTCGTTGCGGTCCGCGTAATCTAGGATCTCCTCGGCCTTGCAAGCTGCCCAGTCCTCCTACATCTCCCGCAGCCGCTGTTGCACAGGGCGGCGACTACGATAGAATGCTGCTTTGTTGTCGGCGGATGGGCGGTTGACGCAGTCATTGTGAGGACTGTTCTCCTCGGCGAATAGGTTGTTGATGCCGGTGTCGTTGTCATTGAACCCGTCCTGGTATTGGCGGCATGCGCGGCCTAGGACAGCCAGGGCGGTTAACCGGACCGTGTCTCTTAATTGACACCGAAAGTTCTTCACGGAGGCGTCCTCGACGGCGGCGGTGGTTGGAAAGTTGGATGGTCGTTGAGCCAGCTTGTTGATTAAATGGAGATAGCGAACAGGCAAAGACAGCAAAACAATATTCACCTTAACTGGAGGTCGCTTATTTCGAGGTCTCCTGGGTGGCTGTAGGCGGATCCTCATCTTGGAAATGATGAGGCGGTGGTCAGTCTACCCGTCGGCATCCGGGATCGCCTTTGTCACCGGCACTTCCTGCTGGTCTCGCTTCCGGACGAGGACATGGTCCAGCAGGTGCCAGTGTCGCGACCGAGGATGCATCCCGGTGGCAGGCAGAAGAAGTTGATCGTCAGGATGAGTCGGTGTTCTGCACAGGTTTGTAGGAACAGCAGGTCATTGTCAATGGGGCCGCCGAGACCGCCGAGACCGCGGAGACTCAGAACTCCTCTCCAGACACATTGGTCTGTGCCAACGCAGGCGTTGAAGTCATCAAGGACAATCAACTTATCCGCCCTTGGCACAGTCGACAGGAGGGCGTGCAGTTCCCCGTAAAATTCGTTCCTTATCGCGTCAGTGATGGTCTTCGAGGGAAGCGTAGACGCTGATGAAGATGGTGGCGAATTGGCCTCGCCGGAGAGGCTGGCGGAGACCCATCAGGTGATCGTTAATGCCCTGCGGCAGACAGGGCAGTCGTCCCACGGTGTCGTTTCGGATGGCAAAGGCGACTCCCGCGTCCCGTCGCTCTGCCTTTGGGTGACCGCTTCAGAAGGTGTAGCCGGCACCCACCTCCTCCAGATGGCCTTGTTCAGGGAAACGGGTCTCGTTGAATGTAGCGATGTCCACCATGTAGTGTGCCAGTTCGCGATCGACTAGCGCCGTAATTCGTTCCGACTGGTTGCTCCTCGGATTATCCAAAAGGGACGAACATTCCAGGCTACCACATTGAACGGAGTCTCTCTTACAGTCTGTGGGGTGGAGCGGAGGGGAGGAGGAAGAGGAGGAGGAGGAGGAGGAGGAGGAGGGAGGGGGAAGAGAGAGGGAAGATATAGTTTCATTTTTGGTTGTTTCGACCGTGTGTTTTGAAGCTGCGAGCCTCGGTCTGCGCACAGAGGACGTGAACCCAGAATTTATTTAGGGCACTTTTTCTAGCACCGCTTCCCTTGCGGGGGCAAACAGTGCTGTGTCTAAATATGCTGCTCAAGCATCCCAAACGATTGCCGGACTCCACTGTGGGCCACGACTTCGTTTAGTTAATCTGGGCCGCCTATGGGAATGCACGTCGCCCTCTCCATAGGACTTTTTGAAGTTGTGGGAGGAGAGGATAGGAAAAGGCAGAGTGGTGAGAAGCAGAGTTTCCCTTCCCTCTCTGAGCTGACTGGTTGCTGGAGTGTAAACGGTGAGCAGAGAAATTCAACAGAACGGTATTTAGCGCAAAACAAAGACCCACAAAGCCAAGACATCAAAGGCCCACTTACCTTGTGGACTCCTACGGGGTCATGGACAAAGCCTCGTCTTGGAGGTGGCGATGCGGTTATCCGTAGGACTCTCGACCGCGGGGTAAGAGAGTAATGTAGAGTAGAAAGAAGATGGCATGAAGGACGAATAGTGGGTACGAAGAAGTAGAAAGGAGCCTCTCAGGAGCTTGCTGAGTGCTTGTGAACTCCTGCGGGGTTACAGACGGAGCCTCATCTCGGAGGTGCAGAGGCCAACGGTGGTGGGAGGGGAGACAAGTTACCGTGTGTGGAGATGCACACACAGATACCCTCACATGGTTTAGCCCGCCGGTCGAGGCGATTATCGGGGTGTGGCTGCTAAGCAGAGCATACCTTCGGGGAGTCACAGATGAGAATTGGGTGCCAGTTGATAAACGTTAGGAGTAGTCTATACTTGCAAGCAGTTGAGCGACCTACTACGACCATCTAGTGGAATCACAACTGAACACCCCTACACCCCACCTTGCGGCCAAGAATCGCCATTACGCACATCCATATCCTTCCCGGCCAGCACATACGAGTGATTTCAGCTGCTGTAGTTCATGGCCGTGACAATGATGGTGCCCAGAGCACTGGCAGCCCAAATCGAACACGGACATAAGTGACGAAGACGTGCAAAAGATTAAGTCAGGAGTCTGTTTAAGAAAACCTTGTACAGTCGTTGGGCTAACTCATGAAATGTCAACTGAAATCCCGAAATGCGTTTTCTTTTCGAAAAGACTAACTAAGAAGGGTTGCAAAGCTAATCAGTCTGTAGTATAATTCTATAATAACTCAGTTAGCTCAGGAATCCGGCTTTCGAAAGAACTTCCTTCCGGGTGCATGCAAAAACTACAGTCCCTAAAAAACGACTACTTAATTAGCAAAAATGTTTCTCATTGATTTCCGATGCCCCTAAAAGTCCAATTATAGTCCATGGAAAACATGCAACAAAATATTCATTCTTTTGTTCATTCGGTGGAAAATAACGTCTTCGTTCAATTTGATACTCGAAGGAGGGGCATAATTCGATTTTCAAAAAGTTTCTAATTATGATATTTTATAACATCATGAAATGGCCATTCATAAACCGCCATATCTCTGCATTTACCAATGTGGCTTGTAAAGTTAACACTATGGATCAAATCCAATGCTAAATTTTATGAACCCAATATGGTCTCCTCTTAATACCGTAGAGAAATGCGTGGTTTTTCGTACGCGGAAAATACATGGCTTGTAGTTTTGAAACCCTGAATGAAAGTGTGACGGCAGAGCGGGTTCAAAATGATTCGAGAATTGGAAAAGTTTTAAAAACCAAATAATACCCTTCCTTCGAGTATTGAATTGAAAGAATGCGTACTTTTCTACCGAATGAGCGGAAGAATGAATATTTTTATGCATGTCTTCCATGAAATATAATTAGACATTTAGAGGCATCGAAAATCAATGAGAAAAATGCATGCTACTTAAGCGGTCATTTTTTACAGAGTGTAGATTTGCATGCAGCCGAAAGGAAGTTCTTTCGAAATCCGGCATCCTGAGGTAACTGAATTATTACAGAATTATACTGCAGACTGATTAGTTTTACAACCCTACTTAATCAATCTTATCGAAGCGAAAACGCACTTCGGAACTTCAGTTGGCATTCCATGAGTTAGCCCACCTACTGTATGTGGGCTGGGAGTTATTTATGTAGCTACTAATTACCAGCAGTCATTGGACTTTGGGCTTTTCGAAAACAAATTCTTGTAGGGAAAAAATGAACATGACATTTTGACCGTTACAAACAACAACGTCTACCGTGTACCTCGCGAACTGGACGCAGCACCAGTGGTTCGCGCGTGAATTAGTTTAAACTGAGGCAGACTTGCGCAGCACCTACCGTGCAATCCTTTCCCTCAACCACCAGGGCCCGATAATAAAAGATTGTCCGAACGGTCGGGAGCTCTTGTCCCAGCGATCGTGTCTCCTTCTTAAAGGAGCCGATCTTATTCTGTATTTTCTTCCCCATGCAGTCCGTCTACGCGTGCCACGCACTATCTGACCTTCGTTCTGTGTGGTGGGCTACTCCGAGGACAGGCCTGATCTCACGTGCGTAAGTACCACAAAGGCCTACCGGGAAGGGAACCAAATTAAGAAGGAGGCACTGCAGTCTGACTCTCAGTCCTGGCAAGGACCGAGTTTGCCCATCAGTTGACAACCTTCCAAGGTAGGACTCTTGACGAGTCGTGATAGATCGGGGAACGCACCAGATTTGGTATAGTGAAGAAAGCATGGTGACTCTACTCCGGGCGCCTGGTGCGTCACTGCGCCTCGTAATTGTAGGTCCGTACCAGTGGCAGTCTAATTCCCGGCCGGCCAATCCTATCCACCAAACCGGCCAGTCAACTGCACGACTGACTCTGACATGCCCTCACACAATTCGATTCGGCGCCTGCCCGGATGACATTGTCGTTATGGGAAGCTGGTGCGGGAGTTCCCAGTGATTGGCAGAGCAATGATCCCCAAATCAGACGTCAGGGAAGGCGCAATTGGTAAGACAGCTTTTTACTGAGAGAAAGTGCGTGCTAGAAGCTCTGTAAACAGTTGCCGCAAGTCCTCTCCAGAAGTGTGTTCTGTGCACCTCTGATCTGGCCAAATTGTGTCCGCATGTAACCAATCAGCGAAGAGGCCGTGTTGAATAGCATCGGACCCAGGCGAGGCTAACGACAAGACTCGCATGGTCCTAGCGGCGAATCGACCGGGATTGTGGGACGAGGCAAGGCGGTGGCGACTAAGTGGGCGGACCGCCACAGCACGTGGACGCCCACCCTGGGTCGACCCTCAACCTGTTCTGACCTATTGTTCACATTAAACAGGTTAAACTGTTGTAGGGGGAGCCTACCGATCGTTCTTATGAAACTCGTTCCGTTGTGCCTTACGGGCTCTCTCTCGAGCCCAACCAGCAGCCGCACAGCGGTGCATGATACAGGCAGGACGTTATTATGGACAAAGACAAGGGAGACTGGGATGGCCATTTCTGGCTTATTAACCGTTGTCAGCCAGTCATACCCAACCCCGAAGCGTGGAGCACCCGAGGCTCGAACCCGCGACCTGTTAGTTGGAAGTCCACGCCTCTAACCACTGGGCCACGAGCCCGTTGTTCTGTCGGTTTCGATCGGGAATATACAATGGTAGGGGGCGCTCACCGATCGTTCCTTCTACCGTCGTCCAACTTCCCCTTTTTCTAGCTGGAACCGAGCCCTAAAGTCGTGCCAAATAGAATTTGCTCATGGCTTTAGCTGCCGAGATAAATGCGCCGATTTGCCATGTATATGGATTCCCCAGTGTCGGCCTTGTCACGATCATGATAACTCCTAACCCAATTAATAGCCTGTCAATAGTGTGGCTTGCATTTTATGAGTTGCCCAAGCCCGGCACCATTGGTGGTATGCAGCAACCCCGCAGAAATCGGCAGAATAACTCAGCAGGCAAACAAAATTAACAGAGTTCTGGTTTCCTCCTCCGTATTGCAGCGGCCTCTGCAAAGCGCAAGAGACGCCCGGTAGTCGCCCGAAACAGGACCTTGAATGCAATCATCGGGTCCACCGTATGGCCCGTGTCCACTAGGTGCTTAGTGATTGAGCTCCTGGGTACCTTATTTTCCGCCTTAAGCAGCCACTTCGGCATGTGTTCAGCTGACCGAGCTGCCAACTGCCTTTTTTTCCGCCTTAAGCAAAATTAAGATCGGATGAATGGATGCAGCTGCTGACATGTGTCTGTCAAGCGTTGGTCCTTGTTGCGTAAAGCATCAAGCTGTCAGAAGAGAGATCAATGCCCCCTTGTAATGTGACCTCTCTTTTCCCCCACCTCTTCCAGAGGCCAAGGAAGCAAAACCGAAACTGAAGACGTCAACCAATTCATCAAATCCTCATCCCCTGTTCTCCAGAACTCGTTTTTCTTCATTCCCTTTTGTTACTGTGAACACTCAGATTATACCAGATGCCCATTTAATAAAGCGTTATATGTGCACCTAGTTTCACTCCGTGTTCTCTTGGTTTTTATTAAGCTGAAAAGGGCTTATGATGTCTGACTGAAGTCGGTAGGATCAGGGTTTTTAGCTACTTCTGGTCACAAAACGAATCATCAAGGACTTTTGGAGTATTACACGCGCTTGTGTAGCCTGGTAAAGACGTCATGTCGTTAGGTTGGACGTATTTAGGTACGCTCGCAATATGATGATGTCTCTCCGTGCGTTTTCGATTTCAATAAGTAGATAGTCTTCGCGATCCTAAGTGATTTGCAGTCATATACCGGCCCAGTAACTAGTTAAATCTGAGTACAATGATACTGGTTACAATTTGATGAAAAAATACGAAGTTTATTGTTCATAGTACGAGAAAGGTGACTTTTTCCTAAACCAATTGATTTCTCCGTGCTTATATTGGCTAACCGATGGCGGACCTTGATCACACTTGATCATTGGGACTGACAGATTAAAATAACCCTCTGTGGTACTTAGAGGAAAGTCGAAATTATTACTTTTTCCTCGTCAACTCAGAAAAATTTAACGATTTCAACTTCATGCTTGTCTTGGTCAGGTATGGTTATGTAGCCGCACCTGAGGTAAACAAACCTTAGCCGCCTGTAATACGGGACCGGTGGCAATAGGGTTTTTACATGGGGGACCGGCGAACGCACTGCCAACGAGGTCAAGTAACTGTATGCGAAAGAAATGTTATTATGAATGCGCGGTTTCAGTAATGGTTTGAGATCCTGATAAGTAATCATTGTTGGAAGTGTAATGTCTGCAACGGCCTGAAAATGGATACCAGGATAAAGCCCCATATGACTCGATCCACATTCTACCGACAGTTAAGTGGGGTCCTTCAGCCTACCGCTGCCTGTGTCCTTTGTGGAGGTGTGAAGGCCAGCAGCTCGGAAATTCCCAAGCTAATAAGGAGCGTGCCCGATCTCATGCAATGTTGGCTAAAACTCTGAAATGCGTCTTCGATTAGGAAGGATTACTTAGGTGGGGTTGTTATACTGATTACCATGCAGCATAACCCTATAACATTTCGGACTCATCAGTATTTCGGCTTTTGAATGCATTCCTTTTGGACCTCCTGCAGAAACCACATTCGGTAAAAAATTACTACTTATGTAGCATGCATTTTTCCTATTGATTATCGACGGTCTTATAAATTTAAATGTATTTTATAGAAAACGTGCATAGAAATAAGCTTTCTTTTACTCGTTCGGTAGAAAATCACACTGTCTTGATATTTTATACCCGAAGAAAGTGTGTATTTGGGTTTTAAGAAATTTTTAATTATGAGATTTTTAAGACCGTGTGTGTCCATCCATACAGGAGCGCAAATGTCTGTTTACCAATGCTCCTAATGAAATGCACAACACAGTCTGGATCCATTGCGAAATTTTAGGGACTCTATGTGGTACCTTCTTAAAGGCATAGAGGAATATATGATTTTCCATACGCGGAAAGCATGCACCTTGTAGACTGAAATCGCCAAACGCTAATGCAATGGCACATCAGGTTTCAAATTATTCGGGAATTGGAAAACTTTTTAAAACCCAAATATGCACTTTCGTCGGAGATAAAATATCAAGACAATGTGATTTTCTACCAAAGGAGTAAAAGAGAGCATATTTTTGTGCGTGTTTTCTATAAAATACATTTAAATTTATAAGACCATCGAAAATCAATAGGAAAAATGCATGATACTTACGTAGTCATTTTTTTTCATAAAAAGCGGTTTCTGCAGAAAGTTAAAAAGGAGTGCATCCAAAAGCCGACATTCCGATGAGTCCAAAATGCTATAGGCTTATGCTGCATACTTATCATTATTACAGCCCCACCTAAGTAATCCTTCCTAATCGAAGACGCATTTCAGAATTTCGGCCAACATTTCATGAGATCGGTCACGCACTGCAGTTCCATGCGGCTCAAACGCGAGGAAGACCAAACGGCGGCATTAGTAAACGACTGCGCCGGCGGCCACGAGGATTTGCTGCTACACCTTCTCTGGCCCTTCGCCTTCAGCATTCGACGAAGACAACTAAGGTGGAAATAACTGCCTCCCCTCCTCCCGTCACCAGTTGTCCGTGACGCGCGCCACCATCCCACAGTGTGTTTATCTCGCCATCTGCGTGGATCGTCCCTGAAATCCAAGGTTCAGTTGGCCTTTGACAGGCCCACTGAGGTGGTGTGGAGTTTAGTCCGCATTTATCGACTATCTTCATACAAGTTTCGAACGAAAAAGATGCTGTCTGTAGTCCTACATGGTTTTCGGAGTCACCATTGTGGTTTTGAAAGGAGTCTCTGTTCCAGATAAGTGCTCAAACGATTGAGTACGACTCGGTCTTAACTGCTGTGGTGGGAGGGGAGGGAGATACCTCTGTGGTTATCGTAGAGTTGTCGCTTTCCCTTGCATTTGTTAAATTGGTCCCTGATGTCTTAGGGGATTCGTTATCCTCTCCACGTCTCACGGAACAGTGGGGGGATTTTCTCCAGGAACAAAGGATTGGAATATTCGTGGATTTCTGGCGAAATTTTGTCCGCGTCCGATGTTTTGCTGTTTAACATCGGTTTTACAGTTTTGATGATCCTCTGCAGGGCGGGCTGAGTTGTTCTTGATTTGGTGGACTTCGTTGGTGACTTCGCGGAATATTACGGACGGTAAGAATGCTTCTGAAGTGCTCGACTCTCATAAATGCTGTAATTTCTCGATTAAAAACGGTGTTTTCAGAACTGACAGGGACATAGTTCCGATGGGTTGGGGGCCGAAGTCCACCCTGACGGACGCAGGAAATTTCTTTATTTCAATGCGGTCTGAACAACCGGGCTTCTCCGGTCTTCCGAGATGCCTAATCGATTTGCGACTGTACAGGACCTCGGCACAGAAAGAATGCATCCTTATTAGCGTCGGCTCCGTTAGAGACGTAGGTGATGTGCAGCCCTTACTCTGCGAGGGAGATGCACGATTTCTCCACTTTTGTCGACGAACCACTCTGTCGGTGCGCTCATCCGAGGACTCTCAGAGGAGCGGCGATGACGCCCGAGTACCTACCACTGCACGTCAGCAGTATCATTCTTTTCCGGAAATTACAGTCATTTTCGCGTGAGACTACTTTTGTCGATCCTTTCGATTGTTTGCCAACTTGACTGTGGAAGTGTGGGCGCAAATTCTTGTCCGCTAGATTGGACCGAAGAAGATAAGACCGCCGGAACACGTTTATTGGCCTGATGCTCCTGATCCCCTCGAAATCACCAGCATTCCGCGACTGTCTCTGGTGACAGGCTCAAAAGAGAATCCGGTAACAAGTGGGAGATAGCACCCAAAAACTCCGTTACCTAGAAATAATACCTACTCTATCTATTTGAGTAGGTTATTACCCTACATATTTGTTGTTTCATCCGACCTCAGTTTCATCTGACGTTGGGTCAATAGGCCTCTTCCAGCGATAGCAGCCTCTGGCGAACTGCTTCCTGGAAATCACCTATTCGTTCCTACCGGCAAATTTGGCCGCATCAGTCTTGCATGCTGCTAGGAGGTAGGGAGAGCTACCTATGTTGTTCCGAGGGTGTATTTTTGCGTCCACAAGCTACGGTGTGATTGACCAGCACTTGTCGACGGCACTTTTTCTGGTCTTCTCCCTCAGCAAGGGGTTAAACACTGCTTGCCACAACTGTCGCCCCAAGTCATCCCGGGCAGTTTCCGAATTTTTGATATGCGCTATCACTTGGGCAATGTGAAGGCAACCGCTGTCGCCCTCACCGTCGGCCATTGTTTTTTTGGGGTGACGGTCAGGAGTCAGGGACTTTCGAGTCGGGAGTCACGCGCGCATTGGATCCCCTCATGTGGTTCAGTCTGCGGCTCAAGACAACCATAAGGGCGTCGCCGCCGAGTCAAACGCGGATTCGCAGAGCCAGTCGGCGGTCCAATGGAGGAACCAGCACACGC